AACCCAAAGGTTGGATTATCTCCCTGTTTTACCCGCAGAACAATATCTGTTGGAGGCTGGGAAAAAGAGACACTAAGCAAGAAAGAAATTGGCCACTACATCAGATAAATGGCTACTAATTTAGAAGCTAATAGTAAAAGAAATGACAATGAAAAAATGAAAAAAACTACATTTGAACATCTGTCCAAAAAACATTCCCGGAAATTTTTTAAAAAAATGACTCTAATGCATATCATCTATATTTCAGAAGCATCACACATAAATTGGCCTTCTCCAACAACTAATGGTGTTAAGTTTAATGTCAAGTGATTCATTTGATCTTTTTCCCTAACAATTGATAATAATAAGAAGTTCAGTTTAACAAGGAATCGGTACAAGTGTTGCTTCCACATTATAGGAAGTTCATATATTATAGGAACTAGACGCTCAGCTTGAGTGCTTGAATTACTCCGTGAAGAAAGAGTTTAGAAAATGCAATTTTAATTTCCTCCACCACCACCACCACCACCTCAGCATCCTCACATGCGTTCTATAAGGCTGTTGCCACCACCACCACCACCTCCCATTCCTCCATCGTTGCCTCCCAATTCTTCTCCTGGAGTTCCTCCCATTCCTCCATCATTGCCTCCCACTGTTAATGTTTCCCAGAATGATGGAAATAGTAGTTTGAAGGAGGATTTACAAAATGAGGATAATTTGATCAATGAATGTCCACTGAAGCTTGTCAAAGGTAAAATAGTACATAATGAAGTTTTGTGTCAGCCAATTGACAAGAATGGTCCTGAAGCAGAAAAAGTAGATGCTTTTGTTGCTTATTCACTATCTAATTCTGATATGGATATGGAAGGTTTGTCCAATAATTTCCGTGAAACATTTCTTAATGTGTTACTGAAATGCATGCATCTAATTTTGATACTCATTCAATGACACTCCTTTCATGCTCATTGGGAGCAGTATTTTACATTTCAGAGTTCAGAGTACAAGATTTAGCACAGGAAAGTCATTTTAATTGGCCCATGGTGATACAATAGTGCGAGCTCATGGCCTTTATCGAGAGCCATCAAATTTTAGGCCTTACTCAATGATACAAAACAATTCCAATGACAAGACTTTTTTAGGAATTATGATTTTCATCTTAACCATAATATACCTTTGATTCTATATACTATATTTATAAGATGACTTGAATTGATTCAAGTCTATCACGTGAAAAGTTTCCAAATTAGACCCTCAGTTTCTAAAGAAAGAGCTAAAACAGTGAGAAAATAATCTGACAGGAACCCATATGGTCCCAAAAGGAAAAATGAAGTTAGGAAAATAGACATTTTACTAAAAGAACTGTACATAAACATAAAACCCAATTCCCAGATTTGTAGAAATCACATA